CACGGTGTTTTAATGAGGAGCGATTTCCTGGTACAGTGTGAAATATAAATTAACAGCAACAGGGAATGAGAAATTGTAAGGAAACTCAATTTGCCCACTTTCTCGAAATAATGAATTTAGCAATAAGAGATTTTGGGTCAAAGCCAGAGTGTGGGAATGCGAATAGGAGATTTTTCTCCTACTGATTTCAGTAGGCTTGCGTGATCCTCTGCTGCCCTTCAGCCTCCTTGCTGTCACACTGTCTTTCTGGCTGGAAATGATTGCTGTCTGTCTTTCCTGCCTGTCTTCTTCTAATGAAGGTTGGACCCCTAAAGCAAGGTGGTTTTTTTTGTAAACATTAGTAATCTTTCTGAAAATGAGGCCTTGAAATGTTGAGAGGGTTTAAATTTAAGGAATCAATCACTTTGTTATATGTGTGTGTATATATATATATAATACTCTGTGTGTGTGTGTATATATATATATAAAAACATATATACATCCACACACAACAAAAATACTATATATATACTATATATATACTATATATACTATATTTTTGTTAGAAGACCAAGACCAGTCTTTGTTAGAAGACTACAGAATTGTGGTACCTCAGCTTGGCACACTTTTCTGACTTAACATACTGTTTAATGGGGGAAGTTGTTCTCATGGGTCTCAATGGCATCTTGGTTTAGAGCTGTGAAATGAAATTTCCCTTTATAACCTTTAATCTTTTAAAGAAAGTATATCTTTTAATTCGAAAAAAAAAACATATTTTGGTATCATACTCTCCACCTACCAACAACCTCACCTCTATTTTTAAGGCTCTGTAGGTGAAATATTGCTCTTGTGCCAGCTGCTTTAAAAGAGATTTGGGATCTGTTGCTACAGGGGGTTTGATGCAAGGAGCTGTGCAACCCACATCGCTGGGCACAAGTCCCAAGAAGGGAGAATAAAACACTTGTTTGGACCCGTGAGCTGCTGTTCTTGGTTGCATGGGTAAAAAATAAGCATAAGATCTTGGTGGCATTCAGCCTTCTCCACTGGAAAACTGGGGATGAGCAAGTTGGAAGGGACCTGACGTCTTCCATGTTGACTGCTAAGCAGTTGTTTGCTAGGAGCCATCAGCAGGGAAATGGAGATCTTCATCCGTTCAATGCTGGTGTTTCCTCCTACCTATTCATTGTTCAAATGAAATGTTCTCTTTCTAGCTCATTTTGAGACTCTGCCTTGCCTCTGGGTGCCACAGAGGATACTGGAGATAGTGGACTTGCTTTAGGGACGCTCCCAAGCTTTTATCCTGACATCAAGAGATGTAGGCATGTTTTAGGATACAAGAACGTGGCTGATTGCATGGGGTAGGCTGTGAGAGGACATTTAAGGACTGATGTCAACTGGGGTGACACTAGCAACTTCAGTGTATCTAAGGGGGATTAGCTCACCGTGTACAAGTGCTAGAATGAGGTAGTAAATAAGCAGTTTAGTGCCTTCTCTCAACTGGTTGTACCTCGCTGTTATGCCATGGGCACCCAACCATGGGCTTGGGTGAACTTTCTGATGGATCCAGCAGCATTAGAAAGTACTTAAACGTGACAAGGAGAGGGACACGTGTAATTGCAATCACATCTGCTCCCTGTCAACCAAGCTTCACATGGAGAAATCTTGATTTTTAGGACCTTATATGTCCCTTTTCTGCTGGGAGTCTGAATCGCTTCCAGTTTGGTTCCCGATATCTTGCTGTGCTGATTTTTGGCTAGGTAGCGACCAGTGTGAACGGAGTTCATTAAGTAATTATCAAATGGGCACTTTTCAGTCCTCTCTGGAACAGTGCAACATGGAATTGTGCTCATCCATTGGCACAGATGAGCCAACGGATATGGCACGGATATGGCAGTGAATAGCTGTGGCAGACACATGTGCGTTAACCGTGCATCACTATTATAGCAGATGTTCCCTTTCTAGTGATAGACAGGTTACCTCCTCCTCTTTAAACTCTTGAAAAAGAAAATTTAAAAAAAAGGAAAAAAGGACTTGTTGGTCAACAAATTCCTTTGCTTTAGAAAGGATACCATGGTAATCCAAGAGATGTCTTTCAGCATCTGTGGCATCAGATGGAGTGTAGAAATGGGTGAGAAATTTCATCTCCCTTAATAAAACAGGACTGACTAAATTGGAAATAGTGCTCATGGGAGGGGTAGGCGGGAGGGTGTGTGCACGAGGAATGGACATATGTACCCCGTATCTCCTACAGATTTTATGGAAAATAGAATAATCTCCCTGAGCCTGTCTGCTCTCAGCAGGTGCTGGGTGATAATTAATGCTGTGACTTTGGTGATTTTGGGGTGCTTTGGAAGTTTGCAGCAGAAGTACAATTTAAAAGTAATCCCAGCTGGAAAAAAATCTAGTGTGTGCTGTTTTTAACAGGGTTGTTTTTAACAAGGTGGCAATTCCTTTTTATTTATTTTTTTGTCTCTCCGTGTTCCCTTCCTGTGGAAACAGTGCCCACCTGACAGGGGATATGGTTGGGGATGCACAAAAATAGCAGTGAATGAGGATGAATATTTATTTATAATATTTATTTATTTATAGAGTTGCATGATTGAAAATTATGAACAAACTAAAAGTTTAACAGCCGCTTTGTAACATATCTCAGTCTCCACATGTTGCTTTTTGGGGCTCTCGGCAGGCCTGTAGATACTCTTGGAATAAGAATTCATATTCTCGGTTTTTGAGAGCTCCACAATAGACAGGAGACCACAAGTGCTGTGGTAGGTGTAAGGAATGGGTTTGAATGCGTTTCTGCAGAAGTTCAGAAGCTTAAACCTATGCCTGACCTCCTAGGGGAAGGAAGGGTGAAAACGGGTTTTCTAGAGGAACTATCAAAAAGTCTGTGGAGATATTATTAAGAAGTCTTGTGGAGCTGAAAATATGGATTTTTTTCAAACATCTTCAAACCTTCTTGAGTTTCTGTAGGTGAAGTACCGTTTCCTCCACCTACTTGTGGCTGTGCTTGGTAGGAATGACAGAATTTCAAGTCCTCAATATTTTTAGCAGTTGAGGTTAGAAGCTGTTGCTTTACAGCAGGGTGAGAACTGCAAAGTGTTTGCAAGAGCTTGCAAACTAAGGGCCTTGCATACTCTCCTGCGAAGGGACTGATGAAGGGAGTCTGTGCAGGACCCCCCACTCAATTCAATACTTTGTGATTGTGCATCCGGATTTGGGTCAGCCAGTGCTGAATTGCATTGGTGGTGCTGGGTAGACATGGTGGCCCATCCTCCTGGTGCATACGTGAGGCAGGGAGAAAAGAGTCTGCAAACTCATGGACAAGCAATTTAGCCACGTGGCTTTGATTATTCTCAGTAGCTGCACAGAAAAGTGCCTGCAGACCTCCTGCTCATTGCTCTTGTGTTGTTTATCCGTGCCACAAAGCTGCTCGTGGGAATTAGGCACCCAGCTCTGCCTTCATCACAAGCTGCATAAGAAACTCATCTGTCTTGCAGAAAAGTTTAAGCCATAACTCCTGTCCAAACACTGGGAATTTCTAACAGAAAAGATCACTTTTGGCACAGCAGGAATCTAACTCTTTTTATTATTATTATTCTTTTAATTGTAGGTTTTAAAAAAAAATTTTGGCACTGTTTTTGGCCTGGGCTTTACAGGGAAGAGCTGTGTCACAAGATTGGTATCCAGGGCGATTCACTATGAAGCACAGTCAATACATAGTTAAGTAGTTTCAGCCCTTAAGAGGGAAAGGAAGAACAGAGAGTCGTTGCATTACTTATGTGTTGCCAAAATAATGTTGTTATAAAGAAAATGTTATTTTCAGGAGAGATTAATGATGTGTCCAGGGTTTGGAAAGAAATTATAGATTATAGTAGTAGAGTTACTTGTATGTGCTTTTTTCTTTCTTTCTTTTTTTTTTTTTTAATCTTCATTCCTTCTTTAATTATTTTTCCGTCATGAATTTATCTGTAATGTTTTGTTCCAAGAAAACTGGATGCTATTTGAAGTGGAAGCATGCGTGCCTGCAGGACTATTTAATGCCTGTGGAGTAAAACCACTGAGGAACACATGGAAGTGGTGTTGGTTATAGACAGCTTTCCTGCAACATGCAACGTTTTTTGCTGTGGGTGTGAGTGAGGATTTTTTACCCATACTGTTGGGCTGTTGGAGTAGGGCACCGAACAGCTGCTTTGGGTCTTGTCTTTTTTCTTTTTTTTTCTTTTTTTTTTTCCCCTGATATTGTTTGAAACATTCATCAAATGCGAGTGTCAATAAAACATTCATCAAAACCAAGAGGCAATGCAAATCTCTTTCATCCAAGCCTGTTGTGGCCTTTCCTTTTGCCATTTGATTTGCAAAAGACTCGTGTGTGTGTGTGTGTGTGTGTGTGTGGCCTATTCTTTTGCCATTCGATTTGCAAAAGACTCGCGTGTGTGTGTGTATACGAGGGGTCAGCAAATGTTGCATCTAGGAGCTCATACTCCACAGCATTTGTGCCCCCTGGGAGGAGGAGGAAGAGTTCATATCCCTCTTTTCCCACTCCCTTGTTTCCCTCCCTTGCTCAGCTGAGTCTTCAAAGGGAAGAGGAGGGGAGATCTTCACCCAGCTCGCGGAGCCGAGCTGTTTTTAACATCTAGATGAGCTCAGATGTCGTTGCTGACACCTCTTCTTCACCAAGGGCAGTTCCCTATCTCCAAAATATTTGGAGTGTGAGGCCATTCCTGCACAGACATTTGGTACCTGTCTAAATCTGCGGAAAGACTTGAGATCTGACCTAATTAAGTTGAGGTTGGTGCTGTTACATCAAACATTTGGTGTGATATAGCATGCAACCTAGAGGCTATGCTTTCTGCAAAGCTTGCTGCAGCCAGGCTAAAGGTCTTTGCCCCCAGGAGCAAAATCTGCCCATGGAAGGATCTAGTTCACCCATGTCAGCCTCACCTGTGTTATACGGGTCTGGATGGGGAGTCAATTCTGAAAGACTGTAGTGTTAATATTGGTTTTCTTTCCCTCCGCAGTGGGAACGCCTTTGGTTCCTAATCCTCACCTCCTCCTTCTTCCTGACACTGGTCTGGTTCTACTTCTGGTGGGAAGTCCATAATGACTACAATGAAATCAACTGGTGAGTAGAGGCCCTCAGCTGGTGAGTAGAAGTCCTTGTCTCCACAAGATGGGCAGAACAGCAAACTCTTACCAAGTTTGGTTGCTGTCATGTCTAAAAAGGCCTTTCAAAGCAGGTTGGGTGCACTGGGGTCCTTCTGATGTGTTTGTTAATGATGGCAAATGGAAGGTGAGACTTAATGAGAACTGCTTCTGTCTGCACCAATGGATGCACCGTGGCCTCGCATCTGTGTTGTTTGGTTGTAATGGAGCTGTGGGCAGGTGCTCCCTGGTAAATGACATATGAAAACAAAGGTGGAATTGAAATCATGTGAAAGTCTTTTTTCTGTGTGTGTTATTTGTTTGTTTCTGTAGTTGGCTGTTTTTGGAAAGGAGCAATTGAGTTGAAACTTTCCATAAAATACAAAAGAGAAAAAAAATCAGCTTGAAGCAGACATGGGCGTGGAAAGTTTTGCAATGCTGAAAGGAACTGCAAGCAAGCTTTCCTCTGGGATACATTGGACAGTTTGGGGGGTTGCCAGTCCCCCTTCCCCCAGTGCCATAAACCATCCTTCCTTTGACTACCCCGGCAATATCCTAAAGTATTTTGGCAATACCTTGGTCTCTCTCCTAACCAAACTACTTGGTCACAGTTTACTTACTATCTCTGATAGGAAGACAATATTTTAAAACACACAAGATAGCTGAACTTTTAAATGAGCCTGCTTTAGATGCTGGAGTTGTATGAGGCCAACTGTTTAGTAATGTAATGGTGTAAGCTGTCTCCTTCCAGGAGTGACTAATACAAGGCTGTCTGACTCTGGGCAATGCCAAAATTGGGGACACTTTGCAATCAAGCTAACATTGTGCTTGGAGATGTTTTTGTAGGGGAGTTCTAGTGAAGTAAACTGAAAGGAGATGGTATGTAATGGCCTACTGGACACTTGACTTTGGAGCAGACCAGAGGTTGTTGGGAGCATCCCCAAAACCCTATGGTTCACTCCAAAGTTCATCTACATATATTTTTTAGGTTACTGGCCAAGGAAGAAGAATAAGCAGGGCTCAGATTTCAGTCAATTTGATTTTCTTTGTTCAGATATACATCATGGGGGGCTGAAACCCATCGCTATTGCTATTTATAATAGGGATATAAGCAAAATACTAAATTTCTTTACAAACCCAGCCCTAGCATTTCTGTAATGTCCTCAGCTTGATGGCATCAAGGCTGGTGCTCAAGGGTCCTTCAACAGGATTGAAACTGGTATAAATGCTTACCGTAGATACCATGCGATCAATGGGTAAGGTCTGGTTAAGCTAAGCCTTCCTCAGAGCTTAAGTGCAACATCATATTTCTTCCTGGCTGGGGCAAGAATAGCTCCGTTTGTGTGTGTTTGCTTATCTCTTGGAATTCCTCTCTTCGTTTTATACCTTCAATATGGGATACGAATGATCATAGACCAGCTCCAGCGCAAACGCAAATTCCTGTTAATTCAGAGTTGAGAAGAGGCACTAAATCATGCAGGGAGAATGCTAAAGCCCTGAGAATGCTACAAATGGTCACTGCAGCCCTGGTGTGGCATCGTTTTGGGTTACCTCGTGCAGGAATGGGAGGAGATGCATGTGCCTACCGTGCATGGAAGATGTACCTGGTCTTGGAAAGGCTTCTCTCATAACCTGCAGTCCAAAGCCTCTTCTCCTGGCATGCAACCCAGTGTACCCAGGGTTTTGGAAACCCTGCTGGATTTGCAAACTCTCTTGCTGATCATTAATGGCCACAGAGGAGGCTCCCCAGATGCAAAATAGCAGGGCTGTGTCTGCCTATTAAAGCGCTGTCATTCAGCACTGAAAATAGGCCGGCGCTTTGTGCCATAACCCCAGTTAGACCCTTGCTCCATGTGCTGACACCAGAGGTCGAGAGAAAGAGCAGAATTTCTTCAAAACAGCCCGATATGCTACGGAAAAGCTATGAGGGAGGATGATAACATGGGGTGAGGTTTTAATTACAGCCGTGCTGGTTCCAGAGAGGGAGGAAACAATTTCCACTGGGAACGTTCAGGCTGAGCCCGGCCCTTTTCCCTCCCCAGCGCAGATGCGTGGCCTCTGTTAAAACATGACAGTTGTTAGGGGAAAGTTCCCAGCCAAATGGGGTGCAAAGGAGATGAAAGCATTGCTTTGGTCCCAGCAGAGCTGAGAGCCTTGCTGCTGACTGGATGCAATCATTTCTGGTCCATCTTTGCATTTCTTGATGCTTGTTCTTCCTTGTTCTTCCTGTTGCCTTCCTGTCCACTCCACTGATGACTCTCTGTTTTAGGTTTATCCACTTTCAGCCTAAAAGAAGGCCTCCCTGGAGGCTGTCACATTGGTGTGAGGAGATGCTGAGCTGGGTCCTGTCCCATGAAGCCTGTCCTCATGTGCTTTCTTTTCTCATATCACATGCAAACGACTACACGGAGCCTCTTGTGCTTGTCCCACCACAGCAGCTGGTAAAATGCTGATTGCAGAGCCCCTCTGGAGAGACCGGGCTCAACCAGCCTCTCAAAGCAGAGCTATGGTCAGCTCTCTATGAGACCTTGAAACCCCAAAGAAGGAGATTTCCATCCTTCTCTTGGACTGTACCACCCTCTGGGAGCAGAAAGATTTCCTTATGTTCAGCCTGAATCTCCAAGGGACATTTACCCTTTGTGACAGCCTGTCACTGCTGAGAAGAATTTGATTTTATCATCTTTGTAGCAGTTCTTCAGGGAGTTGTGGGCAGTTATCAGATCACCTTTTAGCCTCTTCTTTCTTAGATTAAGCAAGCCCACCCCCACGAAGCTTTCCTAAAACGTGCAACTTTCCTACGGCCTTACAGTGGAGGTAGCCTGTTGGCTCATTCAACCTAGTATCCTCCATAACCCCTGTGGGGTTATTAATATGCTAATATAAACTTCATTACAGTGAAACTAGGACAGCTGACAGTGTTTCTCATTGGCCTTTCCTTGGCTAAATGGCACCTGCAACCTGAATTCGTGAAGATGTTCTTCATTTCTTAACCTAGATATGCAGGGCATTGCGTAGTGCTGCTGAACAACTGCCAGAGATGACTTTCAAGGTAGCAGAGACCTACAGATGAGCATAGTGCACCTTGCCCATGATTTATACAGCAGGTTCAGGATCCAGCAGTGGTTTTACCTACTTATGTAAAACCCAGATTGAGTCCATGATTAAAATAGGGCTAGTTGTAACAGTGATGGAGCTTAACCTATGTAAATGTGAGGAACTGGCCTCTAAACCTGTAAAGACTTGAGGCACTCTTCAGGAGTTGAAATGGGCTTTAGAAGGTTAAGGTAAAATTGCAGCTTGGCACGTATCACAACAGGCTTTTTACCTGCAAAGCTTCCTGCCGTGAATATGCAATGAGGCCTTTGTTAGTGAAAGGTCTTTGCATCTTTTAAATTTAAAGCAAATATTTTAAATTTGTTGCTTTGAGCATTTCCCTTTTGTGTGTCTACATTTAGCTACGTTATGCTTCAAATCTTTAGTGCACAAGGTTAGAACTGTGCGCAGCAACAGAAGGAAAGCTTGACCTTGGTTAACGAGGGATGTGGAAGATGCTGTAGTTTATGAGCCTGCCTGTATCCCTGTTGGAGAGGGACTATAAATACAAGTCTGCGTAGCAAACTTTTTCTTTCGCAGTTTGACAGAAGGCTCATCTGGTTCCTAACTACCATAGAGACAGCATTTTAACAGCGTCATTTACACATCAAGTGAAGACCTGACACTGCCAGAGGAACTTCAAGGGACATCAGAGCACAAAAAAAAAAAAAAAAAAAAAAAAAAAAAAAAAGGCACTAAGGCACTGAACCCTTGCTGGTAGCATGAACAAAGAATTCAAAGGAACTCTTTCCTTTCTTCCTCCTCTATTTTTTTTTCCAGGCAGTATGTTTGAATCTCCTCATGTCCCTTTCATTGTGGCTCACTGAATCCTCAAACAGAGCTTGGATGGGGGTTGTGCTGAGCCCAAGGATTGTGCTCTGCAGATCCTGCGTAGAATCTTTGTTCCTGGACACAGTGGATGGAACAGTTGTCAAGCCAGGATTTTTTGCCCGATGGATGATGTTGGATTTGGGCAATGGGAATGAGGCAGAGTCTCTGACCTGCTTGTTTCTCTCTACCAGCAGTATCACTAGTCTGGTGCAGCAGTGTTCTTTAAGACTGTTCCTGATCTTGGCCAGTTCCTTGAGTGAGATGAAGAGTAAAGCCAGGGGAATCTGGTGGGACAGGTTTGTTCTGAGCCCCAAGTTTTCAGGTGCTGGAGAGACCCAATTTCTACTGAGTTATGGGATCACTTACTACAGCAAGGTCTGTTCCAATTCCACCTTCTTGAGTCTCTGCTTAGGTGGGCTATGAGCCTGACTGCTCTTCAGCAGCTTTCAGCCCAAAGACTGTTGGGTTAGGATGGGCTTCATGCAGTCCTTGTGCCTAGAAATGTGTGGGAGATCACAGTAGCCCCATGGTACTGCAGGGCTGTGGGTTTCTGGTGGGCATGTAAGCAGAACTGCTCTACCAGAGGATTTGCACAAAGTTATCTGCAGTCCAAGACATTCTAGTAGTGTTGTTAAATTATTAAAAAAAAAAAAAAAAAAAAAAAAAAAAAAAAAAAAAAAAAAAAAAGAGGGATGTTTGAACCTATGTCAGACTTGAGCTCTAAGATTTTTAGGATTTGACCACGTCTCTCCTAGCATGGTGAGGCCTTGGTGCTAGCAGGGGATGCTCCAGGGCATCTGGGGATGCTCTTGGGGAGATCCCGGCTTGTTTCAATGGCAGCAGGGTTGAACGTGGGACACAGAAGTGGCCCTAAACAGTGTCGAGGTGAAAGGAGATCAGTGCATGCTCCGCAAGCATCCTGCCTGCTGCGATGAGGTGACGGTGGTGGATCAAGGACGGCTTGCAAAAACTCCCCATGCTATGAATTTTTAAAAGTGTTTTTCACACCTCTTGGTTTATACTGCTGCTCTCTCAAGGGCATCGTCCTCCAATTCTCAAGCTTAGCTACAACTGTTTGTGATTCAGCGTGCAGGTTGTCTCCCTTTTAAGAGACCCTTGTGCATGAAGAGGCTACGGGCCACGGCTGAGCAGCATCGCTAGGAATGCAGCCATTTCTCCTGGTGGTCCCTGTAGTATCGGTGTCAGCTTTTTGCTTCAGTGAACATCTGTGTACTGCTCCATTTCTGCTCTTTCATCTTCTTGGCCTGGCTACAGGGACAGGGAAATCCTCTGGGAGACTCACAGAAGTGAGACTTTTGGCAGGCACGTGTCTGGGGGTGGCACGGAGGGGACACTGCATGTGCTGCAGTTTTGCTATCAGGAGAAATATTGGCATCTGGAGTGTTTTGAAGAAAATCAGAAATCCTGTTGCTATATGAACCCCCAGTATGGGAAGCTGAAGGTGGCTTTGGTCTTGGTTTTGTTTTTTTCTTTTTTTTTTCCTTTTTTTTTTGCACCCAAAGATGAAAGGTGCTTGGCTGAGCCTATCTTGTGTATTGCTGTAATGTGCTTTAGTGACTTTCTAGCACAACTCCAGGAGAGCTTCACTGGGAAGCCTATGGCTATTTAAATGCAAATTTGACATTTGAGACCTCCTGCTAGGCACAAGGGACGGTGTCTCTTACAGTGCTGTCACCACGAATAGTGGTTTGCCACATCTGATGTACCTGTTCATAAAGGTGTCCTTGCTCTGTGGCTTCATGGAAGCAGTGGGGAGACACGAGTTGCAGAGCATTAACACCCTCTGGAAGGTGAAGCTGGGAGGGTACTCACAGCACATGGTCAGTCCAACCCACGAGTGAAAGTGAACCTGCTTTTCTGAAATATGGAAACTTTAATGGGCCAGGAAGAACTTGGAGGTTGCCTTATCCATCCATCAGTCCAAAGCTCATCTAGCCATGGCCAAACTATTCCCTGGAGACCTCTATTAACCTGCTCTCAATCACTCAGCTACAGGGGTCTTTGGTGAAGAGCATTTAGAAATCTTGCTGCTTACTGCATGTGGCTGCCCTCTGCTTTGTGTACAGTCATTTGAGGGCCTGTGTCTCCATCCTTCGAGGAGAGACCCAGGGTAACTGGACCAGGCAGTTCAGACTATGTCTTTGGTAGACCCTGATCTCGTTTTCATTGCTGCCAGTCTCACGGTTTCAGCAGGGGGATGGAGGCTGTCCCTTCATTTAGGCCAGAGAGCTTGTTGCGGGGATAAGCACGGTAATTCCACATTCTAAGGCAGGGCTGAACATGAGTTTCTCTGTTTTTAGAGCAGTGCCATGACTGCTAGGCTATAGGTAAGGCACGTGGCTCCTATATTTTTGTGTTGCTCACCTTGACTTGTTCTGCTTGTGCATAGGGGAACTGTTGAAAAATTTGCTGGCAAGTGATGACACTCTAGATGAACCCAAGAAGCTTGTTCAATGCCTTAGAGATATCGTTGGTAGGATGTCACCTCTTGATGCTGCTCCAACCTCACTTCACTCCCTGCTCTGGTCTTCCAGAGCACCCGGACACGGTGGCTGGCCCTTGCCAAGGTTGGGTAGGGGGTTCATGGAGTCACCAAGTGATCCATCTCTGCACTTTAGAGCAACCAGCAGGACAAGGCAACTCCTGAAAAGAAAACCCACAGCCCCCTGGGCAGGCAAACCCTTCAGCCGGTGGAGAAGGGAAGACTGGAATGATGCACGTCTTCCTGTGGCCAGCCCTGGCTTCGGAAGTCCTGAAGCCCATGCTGATCATCCCCATTCTTGCAACGCTGGATCTTCCCTTCAGCTCATTGAAATGAGAAAGGATGTATTTGATATGCAGAGGCGATCCAGTTCCCACTGTTGCTTCATCCCTCTGCAAAGAGCTTGGCCCTTGAGTAAATAGCCTAGTTATACACAGCACTCATTTTCTTCTTCTGTCCTTGATGCTATCTCTATTTTTATTAGGCTGTTAGCATAAAGGACAACTTTGGAGCTATTGTTTAAGCAGATAACAATACATGCAGGAATACTTTTTTCTCTCTTGTTTATCTGTGTTTTTTTCTGGAAAAAAAAGCCTAGTCCACTATGTTTTTTTTCCCCTAAGTAACATTGTTGCTGTGCTTGACATAATTGTCTGATTAACTCTTTGCAGAGTTAATTTCCCAGGAGGGATCAAAGCACAAACACTAGATTTTGTTTCAAAATGACTTGTGCTCTTTCCTGCCTATCTCTGATCAGTATGGTGGAAACTGAAAGGCAAATTTTCTGAAGGTTTGTTTAATCCTAGTGGACATGTGGTGTTGAATTCCCTCTTAATCTCTATTTCATACTTATTTTTCAGGTTTTTATATAACCGAATGGGATATTGGAGTGACTGGTCCATTCCAATACTTGTAACAACTGCTGCTGGCTTTACATACATTACAGTGTTGTTGGTGAGTAAAATAAAAATGCCATCTACAAAAGGTTGCTTTGTTTGTGCCTTTTTGTAAAGGGCACGGACCTCTCAGTCCATGTAAGATATGGGCAGATTTTCTTTGAGAGGCAAATTCTCCCTTCTGATCTCTCTCTCAAAGCCTTAAGTTGCCTAAAGTGGAAAAAACAGAGTCTTTTGAGCTTGGGTGATGAAGAATAAAGACAGGCCCTGATCCTGGTGGGGCAGCTGGCCTGTGAAGAAACACAGCTCTTGCAATTCACAGATAAGTCAAAGCTGGGACTTGACCATAGCAAGGGAAGCAAGTGCAGGGTTTCATTGCATCCCATGTTGCCTGCACAGACACCACCTGATAGACACCTGGGAACAAGACCACACCTGGACCTGCAGGCCATGTATCCTGCTGTGCGGGGCACTGATGGACCAAACTGTCTGCTTCTTGGTGGTCAAGGCTTCTTCCATCGTGTCCCCTAATTTGGAAAGGGTGTTGTCTGCAGGACCCAACCCAACCCTGCTTTCTGTCCTAGCCTGTGGTTGTCTTTTGGGTTGGTGTCACACTCTTGGTATGTGCAAATGCTTCTTGGTTGTGACATGCCATTGCCTGACTTCCAGCTCTTCTTCTTTGCAGATACTAGCACTATGTCACATAGCTGTGGGACAGCAAATGAACCTACACTGGCTTCACAAGGTAAATGGCTCTTTTCTGCTTGAAAGTGAGGGATTTCTCAATAAAACGTAAGAGTTTAAGGAATTGGGTGGTCCACAGGGTACTTGCTATTATGGTGTTTTTGGGAAGCACATAGCCTTAAGGTAGCTGTAGTGCTTGTGTTCTTAGAGGATGAAGCCAAACTGTACAGTAGTGGTAATCAAAGCCTTGGGACCAGGACTTAGGTCCATGGTTGGGGACATTGCTGTCCCTGTAGGCAGAGAATACAGTTTTGGAGACTGAGAAACACCATGTCAATAGAGCACCCTGACCTCTGTCTCAGCTCAGTGTGATGCTCTGTAATGTCCCTCTCTTGTGTCCCTTTCTGCGTTTAACTCAGTTCTGGTGGAGGAGCTGAGCAGTTGTGAGGCCCTCAGGATGTGGTTGGAGTAACTTTGAAAAAGAAAATGGGGAAAATGCAGGTGTTCAGTCCATGAGCTGGGACATGGGTTTGTTGAAACTCAGGGAGATCCTCGTTTGCATGAGTATATGTTGAGCAGTTTAGAGAATTTCAGTAAGCTGCAGAAGATACAGATTTGGCTTTTGGAGCACAGAAAGGGGAGAAATGGTAGCTAGGAAGCTTTGGGGAGATACAGCGCCAAAAAAATGGCTTGGCAGGGTTCAGTTATAACAGACAATCTGCTAATGGGTGATTAAGGGAACAGTGCTGAATCTGTCGATATACAGTACCTCGTGATGTCAGTTGTTCTGCGTGCGACAAGATCTTGCAGGATCAGAGCCTCAGCAGATGCACAGGGCCAGGGAGAGCACCGCTCTCCCATTCCATCCTCCGAGTCCCCTCTTTTTGGCAACGTTCCCTTCTCGGGAGAAGGGGATGCGATGCAGAGAGGGGGTGGAGGCTGTCAGACCGCTGCTGAAAAACAAGTTGTTGATTCTTGGGTCTAACATATGTTTCTTTGTTGGGGAGGTGGGGAGATTTTTTCAGATGTGCTCCAGGTGGCTGGTGGGTTTGGATGAGTAAGTCAAGAAGAGGAATTTGTTGGAGCTCAGTTAGTTCTTGCCTGCAGACACTTTTCCTTCCTTCTGGAAAAGTCCCCCTTTCATCCCAACTTAGAACTGCTGCTTGACCTCTCCCCTTCCCTACGCCTCCTTCAGCTTTCTAGAGAGGATGAGATAAGAGGCTGGAAAAAGTTAATATTCATGTCTCTGTAGCCATGCTGGATTACCTTCAAAGACAGATTAAAATTTATGGGAAAGGCTTGTATGTGAGAGCAATGCAATTCCTTTCAACTTCCTTCTCTGATTCTGCAAAAAAGAGCTGAGGATCAGAGCAAAGTTGGAGATCCATGGGGGAGGGTAGAGAGCAGTAAATGAGAGTTGATGTGACATGGAAATAATGAAGTAGGAGACGCATTTGACACCTCTGTGCTCCATCAGGACTGGCGCGTCAGTGGGAATTAGGTGTGTATTAAAGTAATCCCGTTGACAAGGTCTTCCGTTGCCACTGAATCGGGAGTTCAGCTTTGGGTATAAAACGGATGCAAAGTTCATTTGATCCACGTTGTGGCTGGTGTTACGCTCTGGCACGCAGCCCAGAGGCCCGACCGCAGGACAGGAGGGAGCAGAATGACTATTACAAGGCTGGCTGGCAAAGAGCAATCGTCCACGTGCATGCAGATCGGGAGGATGGAGGTTGGGACTTCTAGATAGGCAAGAAAATGCAGGCCTTGCCTGCAGATGGACGTCTTTGCAAGCAACCTCTTGGCTCATGGATCCTTTTCAGGCTGGGGCAAGGTCAGTCCTTGCTCCTGTGAGTGTAATCTGCCAGGCCATCTCCCTTGTCCACTTTTGCAGGTGGGAAACTGAGACTCAACTACCCTTTACTGCAAAAATGTGGATTTCTGTAAATGCTGGGAATGTGATGTTGTTTTCCTTGCTTTCTTGTTGCTATGACAAGAATCTAAGATGTTAAGAAAATCTGAAATTAATCTAGAAATGTCTTGCACATTCCAGATAATCATTTCTTTATTATATATCACTTGGCCTTTTTTTTTTCCCTGGCTAAATCTCCCATCAGCATTACAGATCTAGACTTACTGAGACACAGAACAGCAGCATCCTTTGGATGTGGCAGACTTCTAGTGTGGTAGAAGCTGAGAGACCAGACAGAGGCAGAGCATGGTCAACTGTCCTTTGGCAGAGATGGGTTGGATTTAACCTGCAAGGTTCTTTGAGGTCAAGTTGTATCTATAGCAGTTTATGACTGTTTGAACCTTTTACCTTCAAAATGGAGGCGATGTTCTCTTTCTTGACTGTTCCACATAGACTTTTGAGTTTGTCCACGTGGAAGGAGTGGTGGGCTGGGATACTGGTGGCTGATGGGCTGGCCCTTGTCCTGAAAAATCACTACATTTCTACACACCTTTGGCCACTGTGTGAAGAGCATGAGAGATCACTCGTAAAACGTGCTCTCCTGGGGCCATCTAGCCTTGCATTTTATCTCCAGTGAGGGGAATAGGGAGGGGAGGGCTGTGCTGGGAGAGCACATGACCCCAATCTCTTTCTTAATGGGTCCGAAGACTTGTGATACCAAATGCACATTGCACTGGATGCATATTGCATCCAAAAACTTTCTCTTTCTCATCTCTAAAACTACCATACTAATGATACAAAACCTGTGGAAGTAAACACATTCCATGTTTGCTGCAGATTGGCCTGATGACAACTTTGATAACTACCGTGGTGACCATGTCATCTATAGCCCAGCTTTGGGACGACGAATGGGAGATGGTCTTTATTTCACTTCAAGTAAGTTGTGTACAGGGATGCTCTTGCGGGTTGGGAAAGGGGTGATGGATCAGCACAGCTCCTTGTTGTGGGCTTGGTGTCTTCTTGCTCAGTTTCTTCACTCCCAACACTGAGAACTAAATCTTGGCCATGAGAAAGTCCATGGCAAAACTCCCATAAGTTTCTCAAGGTCATGATATCACTCTGCCTCTTGGGCTATGTCCTTTAAGCTTGAAACAGGACATGGCTGTAGAGCTGGAGGTGGGAAACACAAGAGACTAGGGCTGACTCAGAGCTGCTGGAAGGAGAGAGCAATTCCTTGCTGAAATAACCATGGTCTTGGTTTGGCTAGCAATACTTTAGATGTCATGTCCAAGCTTGAAACATCATGCCTTTTCTAGGCCATTGGGAGTGCTCCCTTGAGTTTATTTTTACACTGCATATAAATATGTATGTATATATATAAAAAAGGGACATGTGTGTGCTCTAGTCCTGTTTTAAGAAACAATTCTGGCACATTGGAAAACTGTGTGTTAGTCTTAGAAAAGCATTACAAGCTGCTTATTTCTTGATCCAGCTGCTCTTTCTTTTCTCCCCTCTTCCTCAAAGAGGTGCACAAACAAATTTTGGCTATGAAAGGCCTGAGTTTGTACTGATGATTCCTCCTGAATTTGGGAGTATCCACCT